CCTGCTCAGGTTTGGGCCCCCCCCCCCCCCCGCGGGTATATATGTGTATATATATATATGCGAGAGAGATTAGAGTATCTAAGCCTGTCAGAATGCAGTTTGAAGTTTGAGAGACTGTTTGTGAGGCCAAGCTTTGCCAGCTATATTTACAAGTTCCTTTCTTCAGCAACAGTTCAAAATAACCAGAAACATATTTCGTTCACTATTAAATAAATCATTTTTTGTTTAAACTTATCCCAGCAATCAGAATAATCCTTCCTCAGGGCCACATAGTCCTCTGAAGTGCCCAGACTCTAGGTCATTCTACCAAAAGAGAGAGATGTGGAATTTTTACATCCTGGTGGCAGCAGAAATCTACCAAGTTCATGTTTAAAGGTAAAACCGTCTCCCCCAATAAGCGAGGACCTCACATTGCTCCTTACTGCTATGTTACTCTTCTATGATTGCAAACTTTGTTAAAATAAATGGTTTATTTTTTAAAAAAGCAACAACGGCTAGCGTGGGTCATCCAAGGAAGGACGTGCATTGATTAGGCAAGGCTAATGGATGAAAAGCTCCAAGGAATAAGAAAATAGGAAAGCAAGAGCACATGTTTAGAGTAGACTCTGTGCTCCACCCTCTCCCCAACCCTCAGAGGTTCTTGCAGCTCTCCGCCAAGCAGGAAGAAGCGGGTGCCCTCACCTGGTGGAGGTGGCAAGTCCTCTGTGTTCACGTTCAGCAGCTTGGGCCACACCTTGCAGCGAATCTCGTCCATCAGGAGGCCCCCTTCGCTGATAGCCATGCGCCTCAGGGCAGCCACATCGATGGGCTCGCTGTTCAGCGCCTGGTAGATCTCGGCTTCTTTCCTTTTCTTCTTCGAGTCGCAGTCTGTGCGAGAAACAACAAACACATTTGTGAGACTGGCAGTGAAGTTCTAATTTGATTTTATATTGATCTCTGTGAATGCTGTGGCCTGAATGGTTAAGGCGACTGGCGATAGTTCGATCTGCTTTATTAGAAATAGACTGTGCCGTACATTTCTGATGCTCATTCGCCCTTCGGAATGCTTCCCTCTTATCGCTAGTGAAAACAGCTGCAGATTCCTTTCCGTGCGGATCAGTTCTGTGTGCAGTGTTAATGAGGAATGTAGATTAGAAGAGGAGGAGGAGATGCCTCCCCCTGAAATCTACTGGACTCGAGAAGCCATATTGGATCGGGCCAATGGCCCATCTAATCCAACACAGGGGCCAAAACCCAGGTGCCATCAGGAGGTCCACCAGTGGGGCCGGAACTCCAGAAGCCCTCCCACTGTTGCCCCCCCAAGCACCAAGAAGACAAAACATCACTGCCCCAGACATAAGAACATAAGAGAAGCCAATGTTGGATCAGGCCAATGACCCATTCAGTCCAACACTCTGTCACACAGTGGCCAAAAATACCAGGTGCCATCAGGAGGTCTACCAGCGGGGTCAGAACTCCAGAAGCCCTCCCACTGTTGCCCCCCCAAGCACCAAGAATACAGAGCATTACTACCTCAGACATAAGAACATAAGAGGAGCCATGTTGGATTAGGCCAATGGCCCCTCCAGTCCAACACTCTGTGTCACACAGGGGCCAAAGCCCAGGTGCCATCAGGAGGTCCACCAGCGGGGTCAGAACTCCAGAAGCCCTCCCACTCTTGCCCCCCAAGCACCAAGAAGACAGAGCATCACTGCCCCAAACATAAGAACATAACAGGAGCCATGTTGGATCAGGCCAATGGCCCCTCCAGTCCCACTGTTGCCCCCCCCCCCAAGCACCAAGAATACAGAGCATCCCTGCCACAGACATAAGGAGTAGGAGGAAGAAGAGGAGATTGGATTTATACCCCGCCCTTCACTACCCAAAGGAGTCTCAGAGCGGCTTACAAACTCCTTCCCCTTCCCCTCCCCACAACAGACACCCTGTGAGGTCGGTGGGGCTGAGAGAGCTCGGACAGAAACGGCTCTTTTTCAAGGACAGCTGCTTCAGGCCAATGGCTCATCCAGTCCAACACTCTGTGTCACACAGTGGCCAAAACCCAGGTGCCACCAGGAGGTCCACCCGTGGAGCCAGAACCCCAGAAGCACTCACTGTTGTCCCCCAAGCACCAAGAATACAGAAGATCGCTGCCCCAGAGTCTTCCATCTAATAGCCACTGATGGACGTCTGCCAGATCAACATGGATACCCTCTGAAAGACACACACTACACTGACACATAAACTGTTATTTAAAAAAAAAAAAAGACATCACAAGCTCCATCTACAGAGCAGCAAAACTCTGAATACCACCTCTGGGCCATCGCCTCCTTGCCCGGTTAATTCGGTCCTCCAGGTAACTGCTTGGCCGCCGTGTCAAACAGGATGCTGGACTAGATGGCCCACTGGCTGGATCCAGCAAGGCTCTTCTTCAAGAAGCCCATCCGTCCTGTCCAGAGCGCCCTGACGACAAGAAGGAGGCCTTCAATGGCACTCCTGATCAGCCAGTTCGACTTCATTCTTGTGAACCTGTTTGCAGGCCCAGTCCACAGCCAGTTTGGTGCTGTGGTTAACTAAAAGGTAAAGGTCTCCTTTGCTCAAAAGGAAGTCGAGTCCGACTCTAGGGTGGCGGTGCTCATCTCCGTTTCCAAGCCGAAGAGCCAGCGCTGTCCGAAGACGTTTCCGTGGTCATGTGGCGCATGACTACTCACCAAGGCGCAGGGAACGCTGTTCCCTTCCCATTGAAGTGGTACCTATTTATCTACTTGCAATTTTTTGCTTTCAAACTGCTAGGTTGGCAGGAGCTGGAACTAGAGACGGGAGCTCACTCCGTCATGCAGCACCCGGGTCTCGAACTGCTGAACTACTGACCTTCCACAGCCTGCAGTTCAGCGTCTTAACCACTTGAGCCACCGAAGCTCCTAGTGGTTAAGTGTGCGGACCAGGTTTGATTCTCCACTCCTCCACTTGCACCTGCTGGATGACCTTGGGCAAGCCATAGTTCTGGTCAGAGCTGTCCTTGAAAAAGAGCGGTAAAGAGCGGTTTCTGTCAAGAGCTCTCTCAGCCCCACCGACCTCCCAGGGTGTCTGTTGTGGGGAGGGGAAGGGAAAGGAGATTGTGAGCCGCTCTGAGGGTGCGTTCAGACGGGCCGTTTAGCCCGCTTTCGGCCCACTTCAGAAACGGATTTTATCTGCACGATCACACAGTCAACATCTGCCTCCCGTCCCCAGCCATCATTTTAACCCAGAGTATTTTGATACCAGGTCCCCAAGTGGTGTTTTCCTGATTCTCCGGTTCCAGCCGCACTTTTCTGACATCTGATCGCTCCTCCGGTGTCGAGCCGGTTTAAACCCCCTCCCTGCTGGAAAGCTGTCCAAGACTTCCGCTTTTCGCCCGCCATTTTTTTAAAGCGTTGGTGATGTGCGCATAGGCGGAGCTCCGCCACCCCGTTATTAAAAACAATGTTTAAATGGTGCCTAGTTTTAGAGTTTAGACGAGTTCGGGATCTCACGGAGGCCATTTTTGGGGTAAACGTTTAACGGGAAGTGTTCCTTTAAAGTTTAAAGGGAAGCGTTACAGCTGTCGGGTTGAAGTGGAAATCGCTGTTCTGCGCACGAGCGAAAATTTTAGTTCTACAGATGGCTGCCTGTGCGCATGCCCGAAATGAGAGAGAGAGAGAACCAACACCGATGCACGCTCCCGTGTGTAGACGGCAAGGAGTGATCTGGCTGCGCAGCGATCCGGAGCAAGGAGGCGAGTGTGATTGCGATTCTCCAGGTTAAAAAAGACCCGCATGGGGCCGAAGCAATTTAAACCGCTCCCAGCACACGCCGTCTGACCACACCCTGAGACTCCTTTGGGTAGTGAAGGGCGGGGTATAAATCCAATCTCTTCTTCTTCTTCTTGTTTATGGTGCCTTTTATTTGAAAGTGCTTTGGAAGACAAAAAGTGGCCCGAGTTTCCAGAAGAATAGCGCTGACCGGGGCCAGGTTACTTCTCCTTTCAGCTCAACACTGTCTGCCGAACTGCTGCTGAAACCAACACCATTTCCCAAGTGTCTTCTGGGAGCACAAAAGGAGCCCTGGTCCTCCTCTGAAGGGGCTACTGTCGCCTAACAGATGCTCTGAGCAGCTGACAAGTAGAATGTGACTTGGGCAGCCGTAAATAGGGCTTGCCTCAAACATGTTTCCTAAGAGATATCTTCTCAGCATGCCTACAGAGACACATCACCCCATGCTACTGAATCACAAAGGAGGCCGCGGTTGCATCAGTGGCTACGGGCACATCACTGTTCCTCGGTGAGCTGGTTTGTTCTTTCAGAACCCTAGGCCCAGATTTCGGCAGCGGCACTAAAAGAGTTCCAGCTGATGCGCCCCAAAGGACATTTAGACGGGCATTTGGGGATGAGAGAACGAACGGCACAGGGCATCGCAAGAACATTAGAAGAGGCCTGCTGGATCAGACCGGCGGTCCGTCCAGTCCAGCATCCTGTCTCACACACTGGCCATCCAGTTCCTCCGGAGGTCCCAGCAAAAGGACATAGAGGCCGGGGCTTTCCCTTGATAAGAAGATAAGAAGAGCCCTGCTGGATCAGACCAGTGAGGGTCCATGTAGTCCAGCATCCTGTTTCACAACAGAGGCCAACCAGTTTCTCCAGAGGTCCAACAACAAAGCATAAAGCCTGTGGCCTTCATGAAAAACAGCAGAAGGGCCCTGCTCAATCAGACCAGTGGTCCATCTAGTCCAGCATCCTGTCTCACACAGAGGCCAACCAGTTTCTCCGGAGGTCCAACAACAGAGCATAAAGCCTGTGGCCTTCATGAAAAACAGCAGAAGGGCCCTGCTCAATCAGACCAGTGGTCCATCTAGTCCAGCATCCTGTCTCACACAGAGGCCAACCAGTTCCTCTGGAGGGCCTACAACCAGGCTAGAGGCCAAGGCCATCATCAGAAGAGCCTTGCTGGGTGAGGCCAGTGGTCCACTTAGTCCAGAATCCCATCTCACACAGTGGCCAATCAGTTCCTCTGGAGGGCCAACAACAGGGCATGGAGGCCAAAGCCTTCATAAGAAGACGAGCCCCCTGGATCAGACCAGTGAAGGTCCATCTAGTCTCTCACCCTGTCTCACACAGTGGTCAACCAGTTCCTCTGGAGGGCCTACAACCAGGCTAGAGGCCAAGGCCTTCACCAGAACAGCCTTGCTGGGTCAGGCCAGTGGTCCACTTAGTCCAGCATCCCATCTCACGCAGTGGCCAATCAGTTCCTCTGGAGGGCCACCAACAGGGCATGGCGGCAAGGCCTTCATAAGAAGATCAGAAGAGCCCTGCTGGATCAGACCAGTGAAGGTCCATCTAGTCTCGTATCCCGTCTCACACAGCAGCCAACCAGTTCCCCTGGAGGGCCAACAGCAGGGCATAGAGGCCGAGGCCTTCCCCTGATGTTGCCTCCTGGCTCTGGGAGTTTAGTGGGGTTTAGTGCCTCTCAACGTGGAGGTTCAGTCACCACGACTAGTAGCCACTAATTGACCTCTCCTCCATAAATATGTCTAGTCCTCTTTAAGAGCCACCTATGCCTGTGGCCATCCCTACACCCTCCAGAAGCAAATTTCACATTTTAATTGCTCCTTTCATTCCCTTTTGTCCCTCCTGAACCTACTGCCCACCAGCTTCACTGGATGCCCTTGAGTCCTGGTAGTTTGGGAGAGGGAGGGAAAGTTCTCTTTGTCAACTCCCTTCAGCCCATGGATAATTTTAGAAACCTCTGTCATGTCCCCTTACCCTTAGTCGTCCCTTTCCTAAATGGAAAAGTCCCAGACTCTCCGGCCTTTCCTCCTAGGGAAGGTGCCTCCAACCCCCTCATCATCTTGGTCACCCTCCTCTGCAGGGGTCATT